GCACTCCAAATACCGTACTCGAGTACCCTATCACCGCCCGACCCCGATACGCGCTGTCAGACACCGGGCTGGACGCGAGGTGAAATGTGCTACCGGTACCAATACCGTAGTGTATCCGTATCCGCATCGTACTTGTACTGGTATGATAGGTCGTTGAGATTATCATCTGGGTGGTGTTTCGGAAATCGAGGCATATTCAGCCCTCGGTTGAGACAGACAGACAGACAGACAGACAGACAGACAGACACAAACAAAAACAGCAACAACAAAAAAGGAAAAAAGAAAAAAAGAAAAAGGAATGAAATATGTATGATATACATTGCGCAGGGAAATCCTGGCCACGAGAGGAGAGGAGATTGCAATGTTCTCAGCGCACATCTCTTATATTGGGTACCTTTTGCCATATTGGAAATGTCGGGAGAGTGAGCACACAAGTACGTACGTACGATATACCGTATGTGAGAGTTATTATAACTACTCTATATATACGGGTGCGGTATATCATCATCATCATAACACCCGACGGTCACTTTAAAGTTCTTACTGGAAGGCGTAAACGCCAGGCGCCAGTCACCCCACATGTAATCCGGCACATTCACTGGGGCTTTTCCCGCCATGGTGGAGACGACGGAGATGGAATTGTGGTGGTGGCGGTGGTGCTGTGATGATGACAAGTGTAGAAGAGGGAGGATGTGATTTGTGCTGGCATAAAATCTATGATACCCCCCTAGTGAACAAGGAATGCAATACAATACCGGTAGATGGGCATAAAGATAGAAATCAGTCCACTATATCTATTTTTGTTTCCATTAGGATATCCTGCACGTGATAAGAAAGGCTGGCTCTGGTTTCGAGCGGGAACTCCCGCTGTGGATGCATAGACTACCTGATTGTTTACTATACAATACGGCACAAACCCGTCCCGATGGCAACAGCACGGTCCAGCACTGACACGATTGCCGGTACCAGTACCAATACTCTCCTTATCGAAAAGGGAACGGGAATCCAGGGAGGGAGAGTTGGGGAATGCCACCCCCCCCCCCACCTCGGCGATAATACAAGTACCGGTACTTGTATAATCCAAAACCATGGGAATGAACATCTCCAACAACCAAAAGTGGAAAGAAAAAAAGAAAAAGAAAGCAATTCTCAGAGGTCCATCCTATTCCCATTCCATCCCACTCCCATCCTATTACAAATACTACACCAAATTACCTAACTCACCCGCTCCCAACAATAGGGTAATAACAATTCCCAAGCCCAAAGCTATCCTTTTCCCCCTTTCCACAGAAAGAAAAACAAAACAAAACAAAAACGAAAACGAAACCGCCATAGGGGCTTGTTCGGTGAGGTACTCGTACTGTACGATACGCCGTACCGTACCGTGAGCGCCACTGTGGGGCGAAACCTCGTGGAGTGACAAGTCATGATCGGTCCAAGCGCTGGACCACCCGCCCCTCCCCCTCACCGTGCGCCGCACTATATAACTTGTGCTCGGGTATGGTACGTGGGGATACCGGTACAAGTACTGTACCGGACAGCCAGGGATTCCAGAGACCTTACCCTGAACAGGAAATAAAAGAATGAATCCGGGATTAAGATTGCCCGGACGGGCAAGAAGCTTTGACACCTCTGATCCCTGGCTGTCCGGTCAACCCACGTCCCATACCCGAGTACTAACTGCAATAGCACGGTACCGGTACGGCACGAGCGTGCTCAAGTAAATCTACTCGAGTACCCGTAGGTGGTGGTTGTGTACCGTAGTGACTCACGCCACGTAGCGAGTGAGACATAGTGCAATCTTAAACCCAAGATATTTTTCCTCTTTCCCCCCCCTCCGTGCATGGCATTCCTGTCCAGTGCTGGTACCGGTATTTGACGTACAGTACGGTCCCGGTAAAGGAAAGGAAAGGAAAAAAAACCCCCCGGGGAAAAGGGAAATGTTTATATCATTGTGGGTATAGCAAAATGATGAAGGGGAAGGAGAAGAAGAAGAAGAAGAGTGACGATCCATGATCCCCACGCGTTATATAAATAATTCCCACGAGGAAAAAAGAGCGGGTATCATACAGATCGTACGATGTCTTGAGGGAGCGGGGGGGGGAGGGTAGAGTATTTTTTTTAATTTTTTTTCCCCGGCGGTGTCTTGATATCACTAGGTATTAGCGTTGTGATAGATACCGTAGGGTCACATGCCTTACCCATAGGAAGAGGGTAGGATACTAGCACAGACAAAATTACTACTTGTAGTATCGTACCGTAGCATGATAATGCTTCTCCTACGTGTTTAACGGGTACTCGGTGCGTATGTGTTACTGAACTAAGCACGGCCCTGTCACGAGCTGAACTGAGTGAGCTACGGTACAGTCCTAGTACTGTGGCCAAATTACATAGCCACCCAGCGACCATACCGTAGCCGGAATCTGGAACCAACATTCCGAAGGAACTGATTGATTGATCAGAGCCAGCCGAGGACCCAGGGGTTCTCTGAGAACCTTCCTGGAGCAGGGTATCATACCGTAACTACACCCCCCCCCCCCCTGATGCGGTTTGGGATAGAGCTTGACATTTACTATTGCAGCTATCGTAATGGTCGTACTGAGATTGAGGAGTACTGTACGAGTACTAGTACCGTAAGATCTCAAATAATTGAATAATGCACTGGGTACAAGTATATAATACCGTACGGTAAGTTGAAAATCCACCCCTACCCAGAAAAAAAGGGGTCGAAAGAAGCGCCAGCACAAGAAAAAAAAAAGAAAAAAGGTGGGTCTTTCAATTGACCCCACAAGAGCAGCAAACACGGGTCGTCCATTATCTGAGACGCTACACTACTACAGTACAGTAACATAACGTAATATCATAGCCGAAATGTGAAATCCGAAATCCGATACTACTGTACGATATGGTACTGTACTCGAGTACTCGTAAAGTACTACAAGCGGCAACTCCAGGTGTGGGTGGCCCAAGCTACAGTGGGACAAAATATTAATCACACCGTTTTGTGGTTTATCGATATGTAGATATCATGGATAGAACGCTACGCCGAGAAAAGAGAAAGAAACAGAAAGAGAGATAAAAAGGGGAGAATTGCTCTGGTCTGGTCTGGTCCGGTAATACATTGCGAACCCTACAAGTACAGGAGTTGGTCCACAGTTCGATACGAGTACCGGTACTCATACAGTACGGTACATATTTCCTCGCCGGATAGGACGGGATGTAAGGTGATGCGACTGGGTTAATTGGGAATAAGGCCTGAACTGTGTATGACCTGAATGTATTTTTTTTGGGGGGGGGGGAGGAGGGGGAGGAGGGAGGTAGAGGTCTCACAGGTAGGTGAATTTATGATAACGGTACTATATGGAAATGTTTAAGCAAAAGCTGGTATGACAGGTTGATGATTCGTACTGTACAGTGCGGTATGCTACACTTCCAGGAAGGTTTTTGCATAGCACCGTTATCAGTACCAGCTTACTGCGATATTGCGTTGAATTACTGTACCATTATCATATGTGTAATCTGCTGGTACAGTACAGTACCGTAAATTAACAATGCCCCCCCCCCCCCCCAAACGGCAGCTGACCGGAAGGAAACCAATATGATACAGTATCCAACTTGTGACGGGACTAATGACTAATCAAGCAAAACATACCAAGAGCATAGCCATACCCCGTGAGAACTGGAATTATTGAGAATCACTTGCTGTGTCTCACCCAGCTGAGGATTGAAAAGGGGGGGGGGGGGGAAGGGGGGGTGG